CAAATTGTTTGACTAAAAAATTTATCTTCATCAGTTTTAATTATGAAAAGATAGCGAAAAAGTATTTAGTAATCAAATTGACTAAGCGTTCTGGCAATTTTCAAATCCGCTTTCCTTCCTTCTTATTTCCTCCCATTAGTTAGTGTGAAAAGGAGAAATTAATAAAAATTTGGTTATTAGTCAAATTTATTAGGAGTCTTTTAATTATCGCAAATATTAGCAAGTGGCAAAATAACCAGTTGAAACATTATTTATCCTTAGATTTTAACCCTTTTTTATCTTACTTCCGAACTAATTTACTGACCTTACGTAATTTCCACGCCAAAAATCCTACTGTGGCACAACTACCCACCAAACCTGTTGCCAATCATCTGATAGCAATATTTTTGTGATTATTCTTTTCTTTCTCTTTTTGCAAATTTATTGTTATACTATCTTTCTCGTTAGTCAAAGTTGATAATTGGTTTTTTAAATCGTTAATTGTCCTTTCCTCACCAATTACTTTTTTCTCTATCTTGCTTTTCCAATTAGTTAGAGATGCTTCCCCTTCCTTAATTATTCCTTTTAAACCATTTTGATAATCCGTAACCTCTTTTGTTAATTCTTGAATTCTTATTTCTAGTTGTTCCAAGTTTGCCTGGCAATCATTCATTTCGCTTTTTAATCTCACAATTTCGTCTTCTAGTTCATCAATTTTTTCTTCATGTTCCAATCGTAGAACGTGTTCTGCTATTCCTTCTTTACTTTCTCAACCTTCTCTGGCTGCTTCCCCTGCTAATTTCTTTTTATTTATTTCAATACTCTCTCTTCTTTTTTGTCTTTTCTCTTCCTTGCTATCATGCGAATTTTCATTTTTCGAATTCGAATTTGAAGAACTTTTTTCATTATTCTCTCTCTCTCTCTCTCTCTCTCTCCCTGCATTACTACTGCTTCCATCATTAGAATTAGGATTTTTGCCTGCCACTTCCACCCTTTTTAAGGCATCGTTGATTCTCTTCTCATTTTCTAAGTAAATTTGTGCCAGGAGAAGCCAAGTATAACTTTTACCCGCCGCTCTTTCTCCTTCGTCTCCACTCAAATTTACGGCTTCTTGAAATTGCTTTAATACTACACCGTCATTATCGTTTAATTCTTTCTTGCCGACTATACTTTTCAAATATTCCTGATAAAGCCCTTCCGTAGCCCCTTTGTAGGCCAAAGCAATATTTCTTTTTCCGATAATGCCATCATCTCCTAATTTCCCTATTTCTTGACAAATCTTCTCAACTAACCCGTTTATTTCTTCTTCTAATTCTGGACTCTCTTCTCTTGTATTTTTATACACATGGGCTATTCCATTCGCAAACTCTCCATATAAATCATTTTTGTTGGTATTTTTAATAACGGCGTAGTTGTTACCAACTATTTTTTCTCAATCTACCGAAGATGAAAACGGCTCAATTTTTTTCACTTTTATCCTAACAGGCATAACAATTTATTTTACACAATTTATATAAATTATAAACTCATGTTTTACTTTATTTGCATTCAAATTAGCAAAAATATTTTTCGTTCCGGGTTGTCCAAAAAATAAATAAATTATCACCACCAATGAGCAAAAAAGAAATTAAAAAGGATGGGGAGACGACGGCAGTGCCAGGAATAAAAGGAATTATTGCTACTATTACCAAAGAACACGGCGAAGGAGTTATTACTACCTTGGAGGAAAGCAAAGAACACGAAAAAGAAGTTCTCTCAACGGGAAGTTGATTGCTAGACCGTGCTATCGGCACAGGTGGTTATGTAATGGGAAAAATAATAGAAATTTATGGATTAGAGTCTAGTGGCAAAAGCACTTTGGCTTTACACGCAGTTGCCGAGTGCCAAAGATTGGGAAAAGTGGCCGTTTACATTGATTTAGAAAACGGATTGGATAGACAATATGCCGTTAATCTTGGAGTAAAAGGCGAAGAATTAGCAATTGTTTCTCCTCGCGGGGGCGAAGAGGCTTTTGCCATAATGAGTGAATTAATTGCCCAAGGCGTTGGCTTAATTGTGGTGGATTCAGTCTCTAATTTAATTCCTCGTTCCCAGTTAGAATCTAATTTAGAAAAACACAGAATCGGTTCACATTCCCTATTAATGTCCTGAGGATTACGTAGATTAAAGAGCGAATTAACGCATAAAAAAACGATTATCATTTTCATTAACCAAATCCGGAACAAAATTTCCCCTAATTACTTGCCTGGTAATCCAACTACTACTACGGGAGGAATGGCTTTACGCTTTGATGCTGACTTACGAATTTATTTAAAAAAAGGCGACGAAATTAAAAGAAACAATGCCGTAGTTGGTGTAGAAATAGGAGCCAAAATAGTCAAGAACAAATTAGCCGCTCCGGGAGCAACAACCAATTTAGAACTAATTTTCTCTCATGGCGTGCAAAAAGAGCGAGAAATAATTGATTTGGCGACCGAAAAAAACTTGTTTGAAAAAAGCGGTAATTGATATCATTACCACGGAACTTCGCTGGGTAACGGCAAAGAAAATGTTTTAATTTACTTACGGGAAAATCCCGAAATATACCAAGAAGTTAAAGGTAAACTTGCTTTACAGTAAAAATTGTAATTACAGAAGTCCTGCTTAAATTTTAATAAGGTTATTTACATGCTCGCTTCTTTGGAAAAAATGAGAAAAAAATGTTCTCTACGATTTAGTTATTATCGGTGCGGGTCCGGCTGGATTAACAGCAGCGATTTATGCTAAAAGAGCTTTGCTAAAAATTTTGCTCCTGGAAAAGTCCTTGGCTGGTGGTAAATTAAACAAAACAGCCGAAATTGAAAATTTTCCCGGTTTTATTTCTATTCGGGGGCCAGAATTAGCCGAGAAATTTAGTCAACAAGTTCAACACTACCAGATTGACTGACAGTATGAAGAAGTAGTTAATTTGATAAAGAGAGAAAACACTTTTCTTGTGCGAACCAAAAAAAAGAGTTTTATGACTAAAACAGTAATTATTGCTTCGGGAACTATTGAAAATGAATTGGGTGTGCCGGGAGAAAAAGAATTTACTAACCAAGGGGTTTCTTATTGTGCTATTTGTGATGGTTGACTTTTTCGTGAGCAAATTGTTGCAGTAATAGGTGGGGGTTACTCGGCATTGGAAGCGGCTTTGTATTTAAGTAATTTGGCCAGTAAAGTTTATCTTATTCATCGTCGGGACAATTTTCGCACAGAAAGAGAAATTGTAGAGCGGGTAGAGAAAAATCCCAAAATAATCCTAATCACTAATAGTGTAGTAAAGGAGATTTGTGGTCAGGATAAAGTAGAAAAATTAATCATTCATCGTCTTGATAATAACAGGGAAAGAGAGTTACCGGTTGAGGCTGTTTTTCCCCAAATTGGGCTCTCGCCACTTAGTGGTTTTGCTCACCAATTAGGAGTTTGTGACCCCCAGTGTTATATCAAAATTAAGGAAGATTGTTCCACTGAAATAATTGGTTTGTTTGCGGCTGGGGACGCGGCTCGTAGCCACCCAGAAAAAATTAAGCAAATTGTCACGGCGGCGGCCGAAGGGGCGGTGGCTGCCCAAGCCGTGATTAAATATTTGGAAAAAGAGAATTCTTAACAAAAACGAACGGCAGCAATTTAAGTTCCAATTGAAATTCCTCCAAAAAAGTAGCAAGTTGGTGAAAAAGCGAGAGTGTTAGGAAACACGCCTAATAAATATGATACTTATGAAATTATTAGTCTTTTTTTTGGGAGGATTTGTCTTTCTTTCAGTAATCCTCACACTTCTTTAAATATACAAATCTAGCGGTTAGACTTGTCTAGTTTCAATTTTTCACTTCCTAATCGCTTCCGCCAAACCTAACACCACTTCTTTTTTTTCTAATTCTTCCAAAGTTAAATAAACTCATCCAGAACTTACTTTATCGTGTTCTTTCTCTTTTGGCTTACCTGCCGTTTTTACTTCATAAAAATAAATGTCAAACTTGTTTTTTTTATCAATAAATCTAAATATTAAATCACCTACCTGTTTAACTTCCAAACCAGTTTCTTCCTTAACTTCTCTTTTTAAGGCTTCGGCATGATTTTCTCTTTTCTCCACTTTACCTCCCGGGTTTTGCCATTGTCCGGGCATTGGACTACTGAAAGACCTTTGGGAGACTAAAACACGACCTTTTTCGTCTGCTATTAAAGCAGTGGCTACTAGGGGGAAATTATTCATAAATTTATTAATTAACTTTTCATCTAGTATTCACCGTGCTGTTTCCATTTTCACTTTTCAAACGGTTGGCGATAGTGAAGTTTTAGTCAAGAGGCAAGATTGTGATTTTTGTTAACCTCAATTTCTTTTAAGATTTCGGGTTGTCAGAGAAGATGAATACTTAAACTGACAATTTTTTCCGGTTGATGAAGAGAGAAAAGCACAGTATCAAGATTTACTTTTTGCCCGGCCATAACCTCCCGTTGGAACAGTTTTTTTTCTGGTTGGTAGTTAGATTTTGGGAGTTGTAACGCAAGAATTATTTGCATTCCACCTTTACTAGTGATATGTAAACTGTGATTGGGATAGATTCTAGTAACAACACCTGCGAACGGACTAGTAATTTTTTGGTCTTGTAGTTCCCGAAAATAGTAAGTTTTTCCGAACAATGATTTTTCTTTTTTAGTGACTAAACGGCTTCGAACAGGGCGAAAAACTCTTTCTATTCCACCTGTTCATCCTTGACCAAAAAAAAAAGCTTTTATTTTTTCGCCCAACTTCACCATTTTTACTAATTATAGTATGTTAATTTTTCCATCTCCACAAAGGAATTTTATAAATTCAAATTTGCCTAATAGCCAAAAACAAAAATAATAAAATCACTAGGAAAAG